TGGGGTAACTTCCAAGATAATCTCAGCACTGGGTACATCATATGTGGAGACCAGGGGGCCTCCTGAGGACGCTCCCCCACGTGCTTTAGCAAACTTAACTTTATTAATACAGCGTAGTTGGAAAGAAAAAAAAAATGTGTATTATGTAATCTTCCTTGTAGAGACCAGAGGCCGGCTACTCTGACGGGAGTGCTATGAAGGGGCCTTTTATGGAGCAGTTCTAGAAAGCAAACTTAGAGGAGGAGTAATATGTGCGGCTCCAGGTTATGTAAACAGGTTCTCTTCTGGTTTATGTTGAAGTTCATCCTACTGATGCTTCCCAGAATGTCTTTCCTGCTTCCTATGCAATCTACAAAAAAGTGTGCATAAAAGTGAATGTCACAATACGAGCTTGTTTATACAGGTACTGAACTTGCAAAAACTATGCTTGACTAAAACTCAAACATAAGCGCATAAGCGCATACGCGCATACTCAGCGGCGCGAAGCATGATGCTTCACCTAGTACTATCACACATGGCAAGTTTATGAGGTAAAATATGCCAATGTAAATATTTATATGCTTGCGGTATCTAGTGACTGACAGGGTCTATATCGCAACGGTGCGAATCCAGCGACAACGACCCTTACCTTGCCGCGAAAGGCTCCGGCTTAGACCCATACGGAATCACCCTCACCATGTGCCTCCTCTCGTTATCCTGGAAATCAGGCACCGCAGAGTGCGCGGTGGTCCTCTGGTCCCAGACGACCACCGTCCCCTTCTCCCACCTCACGCGGCAGCTGAAGTCCATGCTGCGGATGTGGTTGTGCAGGTACGCCAGCAGGTGCTGCGACTCCTCGGGCAGGAAGCCCTCGACCTGCCTCGCGATGGTGGGGTTGACGAAGAGCGCTGGCTTGCCGGTGACGGGGTGCCGGATGACGAGCGGGTGCGTGGTGTTGATGGCCTCCTTCAGCGCGCGCTCCGCCCCGACGCGCCGTACCTCGCCGTCCGAGGCGGAGGTGTGGAGCAGGTTCAGGGGCAGGAGCGTTTCCCTGAAGGCCGGGGAGAGGGCCTCGTACGCCGCCGTGAGGGAGGTGAAGGCCGTGTCGCCGCCGCCGTTCGCCGGGGTCTCGAGGACCCAGAAGAAGGTGGTGGACGGCACGTTGGGCGTGAAGGTCTGGTCGACGTGCCACAGGTCGTACGTGGCACGGGGACCCAGGAGGGTTCTCAGGTTGCCGCTATGAGTTTGATATCCGAGTCAGTATTCGGGGAACAGTTGGGTGGGTATAGATAAGCGTGGAAACTATCGACTAGGGGCTTTTTTCTTCTTCTGACTTACGACTTCTCGTCAGCGTAGACGACGTGGAACTCGGGCCCGGTTCCCGCGGGGTAGCCCATGGTTGGGTGCCGATGCAGGGGGCCATAGTGCCTGACGGTCTCGAGTTGCTTATCGAAGCCCGCGTCCGCGAAATCTTGATCCCTCTAAAATCCCAGCGTGTTAGCGATAATTCTCCCATTATTAAAAGAAGAAAGTAGTTTTATTATAGGGAAATTAGCTGCAGGCAGAGCGT